GCATTGCTATTCTACAGTTTGAAGCGTGTGAAGGCGCATTGGTGTCTCGTGTGTGTCTTCAGCACCCTGCTTTCTACAGCTGGCGCCCTGAGCTCCGCAGAGGTCAGGGGGATCATTTCCTGGCTGGTGTTCACCTTGCCTCTAATGGCTCATCCAACGACCATTACTACGTCGCGAGTGAGCTGGTGCGGGTGTTGCGTCATCAAGAGACCATTTGTCGGGATAATTTGAGGAAGCATAAGGCCATGCCACCACCCGTTTGCCCCAGGAGGGCGACAGCTCATCTTGGACGATGATTACATGAAAAGGTCACCGACCTGCAATTTATTTCCGGTACGGACAGTCATGTCGTGGTACAAGGACCACCCAAGGTTCTTTTCCTGGGAGTACCGAAGGTCGTGGCTCGACGTATAGATGTCGTGCATCTTAGGCTTGCATCATCCGGCAGCTAATGACACGCTAACCATGTGCTTATAAGAGGGTCAGCGCCAGGTCATTTCAAGGGCGCGGGGAAGGAAGACTGCAACGCCTGACGATGCTCCCGCATCAGCGGCTTGACGCGTTCCCGGTCCTTCATCCCATTTGCGCCGTTGGCCTTGTGCGCGTGCGCGCGCGCGCGAGCGCGTGTGTGTGTGTGTGCACGTGCGTGTGCATGTGCGTGAGCATATACGTGTGCGCGAAGCGTGCGTGTGTGTGTGTATGTGTGTGTGTATGCGTGCGTGTGTATGTGTGTGTGCGGGGGAGGGAGAAGGGCTACGGGAGCGATTGGTGATCATTTCATCAGTGGCGCCAGTGTGACCGCAGCCGGCGATAATTAATTCAAGCAGGGCCAGGCCGCGGGCTGTTTTTTTAACTCGCGCCGGCCTATTTCTTGCCCCTTAGTCCCCGCAGCGGGCGGCGTAAACAGGGGAAAGTTCCGGGAGGGGGGGGGGGGGGGTGGAGGCAGGACACTTAATTAAAACAATGCCGCTGAAAGTCGCCGGCAGTGAGTTTGTGGGGACCGCTCTGAGTGGGTGTGGCGGCGGGGAGTGATTCCGCTCGTTACGGCACGGGGCCTGGCGTTCAGTGAAGGCGGAGGGCGGTGATTTCAGGTTTGCCTGGCCTGCCGGCAGTTGCAACGCGAAGTGCATGGGCAACGGGCTTGGGATCTAAGCTGTGATCGAAAGTTTCTTCTATTCTGCATCTGTAACACGCCTGTGCATTGAAGGCATTCGGACGAGCTGGACGTCAGTTACGTAACCAGGTGTCAACGCCCTCCGGCTTCCGACTCGTCTTCACCATCGGGTTAACAGCCTTTCGCGTCCTAAGATGGCTCATAGCTGATTCAGGTCGTGCTCTCGGCTTGATCTGGACAAGTCACTAGATAGTTTTCGGGTCTTTAGATAGTGTCCTGCCAATTGTCGCTCTGCAGCCGATCCGTTTGCTCCGTCTCAGCGTGGCTCCGCAACTCTCCGCGATCAGAATACCTGCCGACACGATGGGCACCCTCGAGGTCACTCAACCCGTGCAGTCTTCTGTTGCAAACCCATCCTCATTTATATTGTTCTAGACTGGCCTGATTATTTTGTCTAATAAACTCCAACCCTTAAAGGGAGTGTTCCACATTTGTACGAGGTTTTGATCCGAAATGGCCATCTTGAATGTCATTCGGTACAGTTCACATCCCTGCCATTCCAAAGATCTAACCCATCCAGTTTCTGAGCTACACGCCCGAATAATATGCAGGCTATTTTGGGAAGGCTATTTCGAAGTCCCCCAGTTATCCATGGCGCCATGATAACGTCAGTCAGATCGTTTCACGCCGTTAGCCATGTGGCGATCAAGGCCAAGAAAAAACATAATTTTTGAGTCCTTCATATATGGGTTCGTGATGACGATTTCCAGATATAACAGCCGTCAATTGGCTCTCACTCAATGTTGTGCACGGTGCGAGGACGTAATTAACTGAAATATTGTGAGGAGCGTATTTACTAAACAGATAAATTGTGACGTCCAGAGCATTATTTTCAACTTGTGTTGAGATGGCGGGCGTTTTAACACGGGAGATGTTAAAACTGGCCGTTTCGGGTGGCCGTGGGGCAGCACACCAAGCCCTTGAAATGGTTGGGTTGATGGTGTTTTGTGGAGATTTGGGACTGGACGTCATTCTGATCAGGATCTTTTCGCTGGATTGGGAGGATGTTCATGCTCAGATCACGACTTGGCTGAGTGAGTGAGTCGACATAAGTATCCCAAGTTGTGGTTCCCAACCATCCCAGGTGGCAGGTGTGCAAACGTGTCTTCTCTCCTTGCAGGTGATTATGTGCTTGCCGAAGGCAAAACATTTGAACCAGACGTGGAAAAACCATGTTACATAGGCAGTGTCAGTTTCCAAATGGTTGTGCTGCCTGCAATAGCCTGATGGTTTGACACAAAAGCCCCAAGGTCAATCAAAGCTTTTCTTAAACAGATTACTGTCAATCTTTCAGAAATATGATTTTCATTTTGCATGACCAAAAACATTGGGCTGTCTTCAAAAAATCCTCAATCGTCACAGACAATGCTTTTCAGTTTGGATGTTTTCATTTGCAAGGTGTCAGCAAATGAGAACAACGGATAACAGCATGCTGCAATTTTGCATTGATTTCACACAAAATCGGTATGCAAAACATTGATCTCCTAACCAAGCTTTGAATGTGGACTCAGATAACCAGGCCTCTCAGAAAATACTCAACGTTCCTCATGCAGAGCAATGTGGCCGTAATTACCTGCATGCCTCAAAAGGTTTTGCTAGTCCTGGTGCTACATCACTGATCAAAGCCTAAAACCTTATAAAATGTGTCATAATTTGAAGCTACATTCCGAAAAACCCCAATCATAATTATGCTCGGATGGAAAATGCACCAATTCTCAGCTCCCACACTATTTAAAGGGAATGCTCCACATTCGAAGATATTGAGTTAGGCACCAGATATGATAGGAAATGCCTCCTTGTGACTGTTGGTAGGCTTTCAAAGTTCAACAACGACGCTAAGGCGTACAATTTCAAAGTTTATAATAATGAGCCCCATTACGTCATTTTTTTGACGGCGTTATGAAATGGGTTTGTGACGGCAGCAAAACCTGGTAGTATCTGGCAGCCAGACGTAAAGAATACCTCGAAACACACGAAAGCTGGCGCGAACCGGCCATTCTCGTGGAGGGGTCTGTGTCGGGGCGGGTGGCGCGTGGGTTGTTTGTGGATTTTTTGTCTTGGTGCGGGCCATAAGAAAAGCTTTCGTGGACTGTTTGACATGCGCAACGTAGCGATCGCCAGCTTTTATGGCAGATTATTAATATCAAAGCACGATATGCTGTGCTGCTGCTGCTGCTTTGCTGTCGATGATTTTGTCAATACTTTGTCGTTGCGCGCAGTGCTGTAGTCCTGACAGTGATATCATGTGATGTGTACAGTAGTCACCATCCTTATTATTTGTGACTGGAAGTGGGGTGTCATGTAAAAATTAATAAATATGTAACATTGTCTTAATTGTTTGTAACTGGAAGTGTGGTGCCATGCAATAATTAATAGATTTGTAACATTGCTGTGCATTGATTGTCAAAGCATTGCCATTGCTATGATAAAGGTGGTAAGGTTGGGCTACTGAGAGTGTTTTCTTTGCTTAGGATTGTTCATACAATGCATAGTTAACCCTGATGTAACCATTGTGGTGCAGTGACAATCATGCCACAGACAGTCCTTTAGAATTTAGCATTTGGCATGGACAGTCCTATTCCTGCCTGCTGATGTGGTGGTTACATTTTTTCACTTGTTTCTGTATATGATGCTGCATCCCAGCTGAAGTGCTCTTGCACTTATGAGAATAGGCCTGCAAGTAAGGCTGGGAAGGGAGGGGAGGCGGTTACCTGGGATGGCCGGACCGACTAACAGCTGGGGCATGGGTACCGCCTATGCAACATAGCTTTGCCATGCCTGGTTCAAATGCTTTGGCTCAGGCAAGGACGTAATCACCTGCCATAAAGAAAATACAATTTTGTACACCGCCCCAAACAGGGTGGGTGGGACAGGTTTTGCCCTCACTCCAGCGGGTGTCATGGAAGACGCCTGGAGCTCCTGCATGGACGAGCTCACTGGCAGCTGGTCGGCAGCAGCCGCTGATTCGGGCCCCTGTCAGTTGGCCACAAACGCCAGACTACACACTGCTGCTGGGTATGTCCGAACGATCCAGGTCGTCCTTCAGCTGGCTGTGCGATGACTATTTGAAAGCACCGGATCTGGGCTGCAGTCAGATGGGCTGTAAGTTCGGTGTGCTGTTGGCTCCCCCGCTGCATCAGGAGTACGTGTGTCGCGTCTGGGCGCCAGATTCCGAAGGGGTGCAAAGGACCCTACCAGTCCTCTGACCCCACTGTTCCTGTGACCTAATGGTCCTCTGACCCTACTGGTCCTCTGATCTTACTGGTCTTCCAACCCTGCTTGTCCTCTGACCTTAACAGTCCTCTGAATCAACCAGTCCTCTGACCTTACCGGTCCTTTGACGCTACCAGCCCTTCGACCCTGCTGGTCATTTGATCCTACCAGTCCTCTAGAGGACCTTACCAGTCCTCTGACCCACCCTGGCCTTCTGGCCCAATCAGTCTTCTGACCTTACCAGTCTTCCAACACTTCTGGCACTCTGACCCCACCGGCCCTCTGACCCTACCAATCCTCCGACCCTACCGGTCCTTTGACGCCATCGGTCCTGTGACCCTACCGGCCTCTGACCCTACCGGTTCTCTCACTGGCCAGTTCTTCCCACCGTCGCGGGACCGTGCGTGCGCTTAATCCGTGTTGACGCGTAAGAGCTTTCATCCGCCAGGGGTCGGGCTCGGTCCGACGAAGCTGGCGTGTGTAGAGCATCTCGCCTGGACCTGCTCACCAGGTCGGTATGGTGGCGGTAGCGGTAGCGCACTCAACTCTGGACCTGTTGGTGTTGGATTCGGGCCTGTGGCACGCCATCACCGTATACCACATACCACCCGAATAAAGGCGTCCTTCTCGAAGTGTCCCTGGCACTCGGTGACACGTGAAGCCCCTGTCATTTGTATTATGATCAGTTCTGTGTGGGTTGTAATTAACACAAGGGCTGTGACGCGTGCATGGCCGAGAGCCAGACACCATCCGGTCCATCTCAGGACTCCAGGCCACCTGACGACGTTCGGAGAATTAACTGGCCGAAATGTCGTGCGCATGTTAACAAACCAGACGAGGACGATACAGCGCGCAACATGGGCAGTGGCCAGGAGCTCTCCATAATCAGCTGAGTTACGCAGTTGCAGCCCCGCCCCCTGGCTACGTACCGATGCCGTCGAGCGAAAGCGCCCTTCTTTCCGATTACGCTGTGCTTGCGCAGCATCCCGAGGAAGAAGCGCCGTTGGTCTCGGTATGAGCCAGCGATGAGAAGCAAATGATGGGCGTGTTGCCCGTCGTTGAAAGGGGCCCACGGCGTCCGGCTCCGGAATCGCAGAGCATTTTCGTGAATTTTAGCACGCTTTACAACCGAAGCTGAGCGTAACGTTACGTTGTCCAGAACCTTGCATAAAATATGTTTTCTGTTGCATGGCATGCGTTATGTGATGTGCTTGAAGGTAGTCGAGTGACCTTGACTAGTATGATCCCGCCTTACCGAACGTGACAAATGGCAATTTTGAAATGCAGGGAATGGTAGCGAAATCGTGACGCAAACCGCCGGGACAAGGATACCATGTTTCATATCCCGAAAGAAATGTTCACGTGCCCCATTAACAAATCCCACCGAGTTTCGGGGCTAAAATACGAGCTGCACACCATAAGGTGCGCCAAGGTGAGTTTTGATGCCAACATTCTCGGGTTTCGTACCGCGACCTAACCTTGACGTGCATTGATGTTCTAATCTGTTGCTGCTGCTACATGGTCGTATCGCCTTCCCGATCGTTTGAATGCGTTCTGAATCATTCTACATCCACTGGATGTAAATAGATATTGCCATCGGAGGAATGCTTTTATGGATATTTCTTTAATTTTTGCGATTATTATTCTGCGCCCGTTCAAATTTCTGCATGGTTGTAAATTTCAAGCGTACTTGATTTCGATGTCCCGTCTTTGGAAGGCCTGTGCCTCTTTGTTAATACCGCTGTCCGATGCGTTAAATGCTCGTTATTAAGTTTCACCTGCCGCACATACGGACTGATGTGAATATTTGTTTGCCGGCTGTTAGTAATGGTTCTGTCAGATTTGACTGTTAAAGTCGGGTTTCCAGCCAGTTGCAAAAGCAGAGCGCGATTTGTAGCCTCACGCGCAAAAAATAACGAAGCAAGAAGCACAATGATCTGAACGCGGTGTACAACTGCGAGGCAGCATATGCGATCCCACGGAATACAAGACTGGATGCCTCAAAGAACCGAGCGCATTCGCCAAGGTCAACGGATGACCACTGGGCGATATTTCAGCAGACGGCCGGTCGTGACGTCAAATTCTGCCCGTTCAACGGGAAACACATCGTCGACGTTGCCAAGTTCTGGCATCACCTGGAGCACTGCCCGGACAAGGACAGGGTGGACCGATATGTCAGGCACGCACTGGAAGAGAGTAAGCTGCTTTGGGGGGCCACGGCTGTATTCAAAGATGGGTGGGACAAAAAGGCGCACAAATATGGCGGCTCGTTTTAAGCGAACAAAAGAGCCTTGGCACGCGACGCGCCTTGAGCCCAGATGGCCTGCAAATATGGAGAGCAGAGCCCGCTGAAGCTTGGCAATCCGAGTAGGGCCTGATGTTTGACCCGGGCGTTAGAGCAATGCCGCGGTTGGACGGAGTAGCTGAAGTCGTGTGTTAAACCCACAGCAGCGTGCTACACCTAGGCTGATGATGCGATTGATCCTTGCTCCCCTGAGAGCCCGAAGCACACTCTGTGGGAGCGGGTAGCGGGTGCGAGTGAACACTTGGGCGTACCGCAGTGCGAGCCGTGCGGCGGGCGGAGCCGGTGGAGACGGCGCCGGGCCTGCGCTTTTCTGGGCCGGACGAGAGCTGGGACGACTGTGGTGACACGCCGCGGCGTGGCTCCTACGACCCGCAGCTGGCCACCGCCAACAGAGATATCTTCAGGTGTGACCTCTGGCCGCCGGCCGCCCATTGACCGCCGCCCACGCACTCACGCAGCTCGACACGCAGCCCCAGTGCGCGAAGATAGCTGGACAATCACGTAAATCGTGGCCCGCATTGAATCGCCTCTGGGTAGCTTGGTATTGAATAATCTCGACCTTAATCCGGGCAATTTTTGTTGGATTTACATTATGATACAACATATTGATATATAAATACAATTGTTATGTAATATATTAACATAACATTACATTGTGATTTTTACAGATGGCCAGTGGACTTGGTTCCGTTACATGTTTTAGCTGCATGTACATGCCATTTTGGTTTTCTTTCGCGAGTTTATATTTATGCCACTCATTACGGAGGTTTTACGGCGGAATGAACTGCACTTCACAAAACCGCGTGACTTCGCTGTCATGAGGGACGTGACGTCAGTGTGCGCATGGTTTTTATGTGCAAGTAGCAAAACCGCGGGTCGTCGACACTGGCGCTTGCAGCAATCACCAGCACAACATACCAGGACCATCCAAGCAGCGGATTGTTTTGAATCACCCGCTCGCAGTTGAGAGCTGGGCTGGTGCATGCTGACCTCGCTTTGAAAAAATGCGCCACACGCAGCAGCCACGGCAGATCACATGACTGCCACAACCGGCCGTGTCTGGTCGCGGTCTGAGCACACTAGCGCCACCACGCGGCCCGCGACCTCCCCTGAACGCCCGTTGCTGGTGCGCCGCTCCGTGGCCGCCCGGCCTCGCTGAGCGTGTCGTCGTGCCGCTGCAGGTTCCCACAGGGACCGATGAGCAAGTCTGAGCGTCGCCAGTTTCGCAGCGAGGCAGTGGCTCGTCTGCGTGCCATACAGCGCGACAAGGCAGCGGCGGCCGAGGCGGCGGCGTCTTCAGCAGCGGCGTCTTCAGCAGCGGCGTCTACGGGCTCGGCGCTGACGCCGCGCCATCAGCTGGGCAGGGGTGAGCCGCTGACCGGCGGCCCGTGCTGCGCCGCTGTCAGGTGGCCCGTCGCCTCCCGTCTGGCTGCCGGGCGGGAGAGACGGGAGTCGCATTGGAGCTCGGTTCGGCTCTGAGGTGCTCTGTTCCGGTCAATGGCGGGTCACTGGGACGGCTCAGCTGGGTAACGTTATCACGCTGACTGCGCCCGGACCGCGAAAGCGAGGCTATGCGTTGCGTGCTTATCTCGGGTTGTACATACTTGTCGTCGGCTCTCCGTGCTCGTCTCTGATTCTCCGTGCTGTTTGGATGTTAATTGGGGCTTTAGGCGCGCCGACTACTGCCAGTTTGCCCGGCAACAGTTAAGTGACCACCGAGGCGTGCAGATGGCGAAAATCCTATAAAGGTAAAAAAAGAAAACAACAGTCGTGTCAAGAACGCGAGAGTCGTGACCAGTGATGTTCGAACTAGTAAGAATTGGAGCATTTCGTCCGACGCAGCATAACCGCTCTTCGTTGAAATGTTGTTCTCCCGCTCGTCTCCGGTCCTCCGTGTCGCGCGCCGCCCCCAGCCGTTGGCTGCTGGCTGGCCGGGCTGTAGCTGCGGTGACGGCGGCGTAAAGCCCGTGCCCTGCCCCGCCCTCAGGCCAGAAGGTGGCCGAGGCGGCGCCGCCGGCCGCTGCTGCGGTGGAGCCTGTGGTCGCGGCGCTGCGGCAGGTGACCATCGGCAGGGGACGAGGTAAGGCGGGCCGGTGCACGTTCGACGAGTCGGCTCGCACGAGTGTGACGTTACGAATAGTGCGAGCGTCGCCATAGTCTGCACTCACACTGCGTCATGGGATGCAGTACCTCATTGCGCTGATGCTCAGCCTGATGTCTCACACTGCGTCATGGGATGCAGTACCTCATTGAGCTAATGCCACTGTCTGATATTATTTTGTCTGGGGTTTGCAGCTATGGCAAAGCGGCAGCGAAGTGCTGCTACTTGGGGGGGGAGGGGGGGGGGGGGTATGGCAAGCCGTTGATTTAAGAAACTCCTGGTGTCGTAGCCGAATGTCGCATGTGTAGCCGCAAAAATTGCTGATGTGAGTGTGGAAGTTCAGTGCCTCCGGCGTCTGTGACGTAGCGCTGCCGTACTTCGGTTCAGCCAATCAGCCGGCTCCGGTCTTTCCTTCCTCAGGACGCGGCACTCAGATGACCAAAGCTGGCCGTGCCAAGTCCAAACAGTCCAGCGGCGTGTAACTCGTGAGTAACGAACTCAGCTCAGTGGCTGGCGGTGCTGACGTATCTGTTGTGAAGAAACTATGCATGGTTCTGCTGAAATTTGTCGTATCGTTTGTATCATGACTGTGCCAGCGTGTAATTGGGTCTGTCTACCATTTTGGTTTTGTCAGGTAATGTTATGATTCTGTCTGATCATCTTGTACAAAACAACGGGTACCAGCGCAGAAGATCGCACCAAATCGGAGGGAGAAACACTTTTAGCAGTTCGTTTGTACCTGGGGGAGGGGAGGAGGGACTGGACTGCACTGGTGCTGTGATTACCGTCGTGTGTTTACCACCATACGCTTACCCCTACATCTGCTCATTATCGCGACTGTTGGCGTATACTGGGCTGTTCACCGTAAGCCTCACCGCTGTCCCGTCCCCAGGGGCGCCAAGCGGCCGACCGGGAGGAGTTTGGCCTCCGGCGGTCGCGCGCCAGGCGCGGGGCACAGCGGCACTCTCTAGTGCCCAGCTTTCCGCCCTGGACGCGTGCCGAACATCACTGGATCCGGCCCGGTCGAGGATGACCGGGCCTACAGCTCAGGGCAGCACGACAGGTACCACGCAAGCGCGAAGAGTTTGCGTAGTGTACAAAGCGTCGATTCTCAGGTGGAGGTTGCTTTATCATATTTTGCGGGTCATTGTTGTTGACGGACGTCAGCGCTACGTTCTGCGACACTGGCAGCTGCTGCATCGGGAATGTGAAACGGCTTCGGGCCGAAGTACCTCAGGGTTGGGCTGGTGCAGCGTCGGTGGTGGGTGCCCCGGGCTTTGCCGTGGCGCTGACTCAGCGTCAGCAGGTGCGCGGTGCGCGGCGCGGCTGGTGTCTGACGCCCGGACCGGGGTCCGCGTGCAGAGCGGTGTTGGGCCGGTGACTCGGGACTGGCTGTTGGGCTCGGGACGCGACGCAGGGCTTGATTGCGTTCGTGGGAGTATATGTTACCAGAAGAGATTGCACGATACGGTTCGGCCTATCGCACAGGAACACTGAGGATGTTACTAGTGCTTAAAATACCTTTTTTTTGTCGTGATGCCCTGTCGATTTTTATAGTGCGCCTTTCGAACATTTATGTTGCGAAGTTCCATGCGCAGTTTGTTTATTTAACGGCGTTGAGTGGAGGGACGGGTGGCGAGGTCAGACATATAAGAACATTCAGTTTTCGTAGGTTTTTAGTTCGTCGGTATCCAGTGGTCCAGAAATACATCTTGGCCGCGCCTCGTGTAACCTCAGAGCGTTTTTACACTGATGCGACCAAACAGTCATGTATCGAAAACCCGAGTCCGAGTCGGCGTCCAGGAGTCCGAGTCCTGGCAACAAAGTGCGCCGCGCACTTACACAAGCGTATACGATGAATGCCAGCACAGTCTGCGACACTGGATGTTCAAGGTTGGGGCGACATCAGACGACAGCTGACGAACGGACGCCCAGTTGGCCCGCGTGAGCGCATGCATAAAATGCTTGGCGTGCGGCTGCGCGCCGAAGGCAGCGCAAGGAGTATGTGTGGCCGTAACGCCACTGCCGTCACGGCAGTGACGCTTCATGAGCCGTGACGATTTCCAAAAGTAGCGTCAGTGCACCATCCGATGCTCTCGGATCATCCCACGTGCACTGAAGCTAGGCCGTGGGACGGCGCCACGTGACCCCTCCCGTGAGGCGATGACGGCGTGGTTTTGGTGCGTCCGAAAACTGAAATGAAATGTGCAGCGTGCCTTGACTTCGCCGCGCATTACGTTTAGGACGCGTGAACGGCTCGGCAGGGACAGCGACTGCGTACCGTCCGACCGCACCACGGACCAGCCGCGGGAGATGGTCCAGTTACCAGCTGGAGGTGTCGATCAGGGAACGGCTATAGTCTCACTTTTAAATTGTTTGGCATGTTGGGCGTGCAATCGACAGCGAGTCGCACTCCGACACAAGAACAAGGTGACTAAACCACGGAAAGTGGCAAGGGGCAGGGGGATCTGTTTGGACTTATCTGGCGGGGGTGTAGCGTGACTTGCATTTTACCAGTGCACCAGCAATATCGACCCCACTTGCAGCGGCCTCCAGTCGGTGGCCGCAGTCCATCGCAATAATGCTTGCCACATTGCAGCACTTTTTTAAACACACATACAAAAACAAACAAATGATCACTAGAAGTACCCAAGGTAGGGGAATCCACAAGGACTCGGCCCCGCAACCAAGATATAACGCGCTTTTTAAATTGGTGTGTCTGGCCAGTACACGATACCACCACACCTGATCGACGCAAATTTGACGTAACAGTCCTGATAAATAAACAGCGTGCACAATTGCGTCTTGCCATCACAAGGAATGCTCCAAGACGCTCCACCCTTGCCTTGCGTAGCGTGTAGCCGTGCCATCCACAGTCGCTACACTTGGGCCGCTGCGGGCTATGCACAATGTTTATATCACACTTAATAGTTTGGCTTGTATTTCTTGACTTCCACCATGATGTGGTGGATGTTGATGGCTTCTCCCCGGACTGGTAGGTTCTTCAAAGCCTGCAGCCCCAGGATCTTCTGGAAGCGGTTGTAGAAGAGGATCAGCTGCTTCAACGCATCTTGCAGAATGTTGGTTCCGTTCCTGAAGTTGGTGAAGGACCGCATGATCTCGTTGTTGATATCTTCCAGAGATTTCTTCCAATTCGCAGCGAACGAGCGCACCAGGGTGGTGATCCGTCCTGAAGCATCGCAAACGGAACGGTACTCACGGAGCTCGCGAATAAATCGGACACTACACAATTCGTTCAATGATTTCCTGTCAGCCAAAATGTTCGACTATCCGGCATGGGTGCACTTCTTTATCGGCATCCCTCCCCCTTTTAAACCGACGTCCCAATGTACCAAACCAAACATAGTCAACGCCACACTCACGCCCCTCCATCCCTCCCCAGCCCTGACCCAGATGACACCCACGCCCCTGCACCCCTCCCCAGCTCTAACGCAGGACGCCACTCACGTCCCTGCCATCCCTCCCCAGCCCCACCTCCGAACGCCACTCACACCCATGTCACCCTTACTAGCCCTGACCCCGGACGACTCGCGCCCCTGGCCCCTGCCACCCCCAGCACTCACGCCCCTGTCACACCTCACCAGCCCCAGCACTCACGACCTGTCACCCCTCGCCAGCCCTGACCCCGGACGACATCCACGTCCCTGTCATCCCTCCCCAGCCCTGACGCCGGACGACACTCACGCCCCTGTCGTCCCTCCCCAGCCCTGACCCCGGACGACACTCACGTCCTTGTCATCCCTCCCCAGCCCCGGCACTCACGCTCCTCAGCTCGCAGCGCGTCCATGTCGGCCCGCTCCACCATGGCCTCGGCGTCGCGCACCAGCTGCATCAGACCACCGAAGTGCGGCGCCAGGATCTCCTCCACGTACTCGGCCGTGCGCACGGCCAGCAGGTCACGGAAGCTCTCGGACTCCTTACTGTTGTCCTTGGTCCGCTCCTGACGGCGGGCGACGGGCGTGAGGACCACGCTGGTGCCCAGACACACACACCCTTCCTTTCGGCTGTCACGTGACGGGTCCGCGGCAGGTCCTGCCGCGGACCCGTCCCGGACCCTCCTGGAGGGCTGGCAACGCAGACGTGTCGTCATGAGGGCTACTTGCTAAGGATTCTCAGAAGCTGGGGCTCAACTCACAAACTGCAATCGAATAATCACGCGGCATTGATTAAAATTACTACACAATACAGCTTCCACCTTTTAAGTTTTAGGCACTACGATGTCAGCAGACCGCGCTGAGCCAAACGATGGCTACCGCGAGTTTTGGCCCAACACGTCACCGTCGGCGCGGAGGCACCAGGCCGGCGGTGGCGGCAGCAGACATGCACGCACCATGATGACACCCAGCATCATGTCGTAGTTGTTGATGAGGAAGATGAGCTGCTCCTTGCGACGGCTGAACTCGGCGGCCAGGCGCAGGATGAAGTTCTCCAGCTCGGCCTGCAGCTGCGCCAGCAGCCGGTTCACGCGCTCCGACGGGAACGACTCGTTGATGCCGACCAGCGCGGCCGAGAACTCGGCGTAGCGCCGCGTGATCTGCGAACAGCCGAGGGAGGAGCGGGGACGTCAGACGGGCGGCAGACGGGTAGCGT